AATTTCCTGTTGTAGAAAATAAGTTCAATTTTTGTAATACCTGCTACAAGATAGTAATAACTGGCAGAGTTCCCAAATTGTGCCTTTCTCACGGCCTTGATTTTCCAATCCAACCAGAATGTTTACTTTAATCAGAATTAGTTAGTCCCAGAATACCTTTCATGAGAACTTTCGCTTTGTGCTATGAAAGATAATCTGCATTAAGAGGTGCGGTTGTCAATATACCAATTTCTGTTACTGACACCGTCAAAATTTTACCCAGGACATTTAATCAAACACACGTTATTCAAATTCATCTAAAACGTCGCATGCAATACAATCATAATTACATTACGGAGACAATTCGCCCAGCAAAAGTAATTGAAGCTTTAAGATATTTGATAAATACCGAGCTGTACAAAAAACATGGTATAAAGATTACAGAAAACTGGATACATAATTTTGGCAATGACACAAAAGTTAGATTTGTGGTTTCAAGAGAAGATGAAGAAATTGTTAGCAATATGGTTGAAAATAGAAATCGAAATATAATAGGAGGTGAGGATTTTGAAGTAAACTTAAATCCAGGAGGAGAAGAAACGCTTTTGGAAAATTAACCTATAGGAAATTTACCAATCAACCAAGTAGTAATAGCTTCTGGCGAAGGAAAGCGGCCTCAGGATATGTGTCTTGATATAGATTCAGAAGAACTATCTTATCCCACGATATATTGCGGCCAGAAACGATTATGCAATGAAAGCTATAGCAAGATTGCTAGGTCCGAACTAAGACGTTTCGATCGCCATTCTGCGAAAATTGACAAATTACTATACAAAAAGTACGAGCTGTTAAGAATTAAGAATGCCATTTCAACATACTTGAGCAAAAATTAGGACAAGTACAATATACCACTAAAAACATATTAGATGAAGGCTTTGTCAATAATTTGATACAACATAACGATGGTTATCACATTTTAATAGGTCTCCGTTCAACATCGTGTCATTGGGATGCTGAGAAAAAAAGAAGTTATAGCAATGATACGACAATTTGGCCTTCCAACGTTTTTTATAACACTCTCAGCAGCTGAAACCAAATGGAATGAATTATTAGCAATACTGTGTAAATCCGGTGACATGTGCTAGATATTTCGACTACAGGGTTAGGCAATTATTTAAGCTATTTAAAACGAGTGGAGGTATTTTTAACGAAAGCTGTGTAGAAAAGTTTCTCAGGCGAGTTGAATTTCAACAGCGCGGATCTCCTCATATTCATGGCATGTATTAGCTCAGTTACGCCCCTAAATTAGATTTAAATAATAGAGAGACTTCCGACTCCGTTACAATTTCATAGGCACATATGTGGCAACCGGCAGTTTTTATCCTGAATTAGCAGATTGTGTTCCATATCAAAAACATGCTCATGGAAGATCATGTTGGAGAGAAATCAGGGGAAATAAAATATGCCGATTTAATATGCCTCACCCCCCAATGCCAAATACAGAACTACTTATGCCATTAGAAGGTGGAGAAAATACGAAAATTCACAGAGATAATTTAAAAAAAATTCAAAACTTTCTTTCAAATACTATAAATGAAAGTGAAACGGAAAATTTAAATTGCTTCGAAAATATATTGCAACATGAAAACATAAAACTTACTTATAATCTATATTATATTTTACAAGATTTTTCCAGTTCATGAACAGGTATACATATAATCTAATAAATAACAAAAACAAAGAAATGAAAATAGCAAAAGAGAATACTGGGTACATACATTACTCAATTGATTATACATACTGTAAAACAAAAACAAAAAATGAAAAGCGAAAAGCGAAAGAGAATAAAAAAAGAGTAGTAATATTTTTTTTGTTTTTTTGCTTTACTACCATAAACAAAAATAAAAAGCAAAAGGAAGCGAAATATTTTAAATGAGTTAAGTAAGAGTAAAATAATTTTTTGTTGTTGTATTTAACATGGAATGGAATTAAAAAAAATAAAACTAAAAATTGTAAGAGATATAAGAACACGAATAATGTTACGTACTAAGGCAATTATTCTTCGTGTGCTTGCGAAATTTCAATTGAGTAAGTAGCCAAGCCAGGTCTGTATAAAGAAAAGAGGCATTGATTTTTTATTAATTCACATTCACTTTGGTTTTAAAGTTTAACGTGAAAGGTACTATTTCCTTTCCTTTTAATTTTGTTCGGCATCAGTTCCCCATCCGTCTTGCATATGCCATGACTATAAATAAGTCCCAAGGGCAAACTTTTGAAAAGGATGGCCTCTATCTCCCCAGCCGTGCTTTTCGCATGGGCAATTATACACAGCATGTTCAAGAGCCATAGACTCCAATTCTTTAAAAATTCAAGTCAAAGATACGGTTCTACAGGGAAAAATCGATGATGGAAATATGTTAACAGATAAAGTTGTTTATAAGGAAATTTTTCGTTCTTAATTGTTAACTAATTCTTAAATTGAATTTTAATCATATCTATGTAATTAACAGTGACACATATTACATCTTAAAATTTATTAAATTAAAAATATTTCCATTACTTTTATTTGTTAGTATTCAAACCAATATGATATTTATGCATATACAAGTATATACCTGCATATGTATGCCATAATATGTACAAATTTTTCTAAACTTATTTTAAAATTGATTGCCACAATCCTGTTTTTACAACAGACAATGCTGCTTATAAGCAAACCACAGGGGCCCCTAGCCTATATTATATTTTACAAGATTTTTCCAGTTCATGAACAGGTATACATATAATCTAATAAATAACAAAAACAAAAAAATGAAAATAGCAAAAGAGAATGCTGGGTAGAAACATTGCTCAATTGATTATACATACTGTAAAACAAAAACGAAAAATGAAAAGCGAAAAGCGAAAGAGAATAAAAAAAGAGTAGTAATATTTTTTTTGTTTTTTTGCTTTACTACCATAAACAAAAATAAAAAGCAAAAGGAAGCGAAATATTTTAAATGAGTTAAGTAAGAGTAAAATAATTTTTTGTTGTTGTATTTAACATGGAATGGAATTAAAAAAAATAAAACTAAAAATTGTGAGAGATATAAGAACACGAATAACGTTACGTTACGTACTTATCTAGATAACGTTGTTTAGAAGGAAATTTTTCGTTCTTAATTGTTAACTAATTCTTAATTTGAATTTTAATCATATCTATGTAATTAACAGTGACACATATTACATCTTAAAATTTATTAAATTAAAAATATTTCCATTACTTTTATTTATCATTAGTATTCAAACCAATATGATATTTATGCATATACAAGTATATACCTGCATATGTATGTATGCCATAATATGTACAAATTTTTCTAAACTTATTTTAAAATTGATTGCCACAATCCTGTTTTTACAACAGATAATACTGCTTATAAGCAAACCACAGGGGCCCCTAGTGAGTATATAATAGCATTAAGATCCAGTTTGAAAAAACCTTGTATTTTTTATAAAAGAAAATTTGCAGACAAATTGGTGAATACATTTAATCTTAAAATTTTGAAACTTCACAGAGCCAACATGGACAACAATCGTGAAGTATCAAGATTACTGCAGGAAGCGTTGGAAGAAATAAACTCAGGCAATTTTTCTATTAAGCAAAAGCTGCAACACATTGGAAACAAGTTTATTAGTGGATCCGAAACATCAGCTCAAGAAGCAGCTTATAACGTTTTAGGATTACATATGTCTGAATGCAATAACGCCGAAACATCCCCTTTTCAGGTAGAATTCCGAGGGTTGTTCCATGTCTCGCAAGCTCATCCGCCTTGCAATTCCCTGAGATCCCAATGTGTCCGGGAACCCAAGCCAAGTTTAATTCGAACTGCCTCGCCATCTCGTTAAGTGACGACCTACAATCAAGGACCGTTCTGAACGTAGAGGTCTCCGACTCCAGCGGCCTGGCCATCCGTGAAGATGCTAACACTGCCAACGGACACCACATGCTCACCAAGCCAGCGCAGAGCCTCTCCAATTGCAACCACCTCTGCCTAAAAGACACTGTAGTGGTCCGGCAGGCAGAAGGAGAGCTCAACTCCCAATTACTCGGAGTAAACACTCCCGCCCACCCTCCCGTCAAGTTTGGATCCATTCGTGTAGAAATGGACAGAGCCATCCCTGACCGCGTCCCACCAGCTTTGCCGCGGCAGGACCGATGCCCCGAAATTAGTCACGAATGAGACCACGGAAGGAACCAAATCAATTGACCCCACACCGTGCCCCCAGTCCGCAAGAATTGAAGCGTGACCCGTGGGGAAACACGACCACTGTGATGCGGCCCCAAGGCGCCCTGCAGACTCCGCAGCCATCTGCCTGCCCAATATATCTAATGGCAGCAGATGCAAGAGAATCTCAAGAGCCTATGTAGGGGTGGAGCGCAGAGCTCCACCAACACACACCATTGCCATCCTTTGAACCCTGCTGATTAACCTCAGGTTTAAGGAAGTACGGAGCGCCGGCCACCACACCAGAACTCCGTACATCAGAACCGATCTCACCACCGCGGTGTACACCTCTTCCCGATGGCCCTTTTGCACGAGTAAAGCGCAATAGTTGCTTTCTTTACTCTTTCCATGATGTTAAGTCTCCAGTTCAGCTTTGAATGCAGAACAAGCCCCAGGAATCCAGCCGTCCTGCTGAAGTATAGGCCAATTGCATCTAGTTTCGGAGAAGCCTCTCGAGTTAGTTTGATGTTTTTTATCTGGAGCAATAAGTACTTAGTACGCTATTGTGCCAGATCAAAAGCTGGTAAATAATCAGAAAGGTTAGAGCAAAATTAATGGTTAGTCGTTTCCGACTAGTTTTATTAATTATTTTGAAGAGGGTGTTTTTTAGTGGATTAAAGTTTCACACTACTGTTTTCGTCAGGCAGTGTCTTTCGAGATTCTCGGTAAAAAAAAAAAAAAAAAAACAAAATTGATTTTTAATGTAGTAATTGGTTCTTTCAAAAATGAACAATGTAAGTTAAGCTGATGTAGGTAATTGTGTATATAAACATTTGGAATTTAAATAACTTAAATTTTCTATTTTTCGATTTATATTTAAAAAAACTCTTATAAATTTTTTATCCGTTTAAAGTACAAAAATGTATGTTACTAAGCCCATTACCGCAACGGTCATGATCACTCCACAAAACAAAACTTTTTTGTCCTCAGTAAAACGTTTTTCAATTAATCTTAACACATGGTTCGAAAGATTTAAAGTATTTCCTATGCTCAATATCCGATTTTTTGCGTCACCTAGCTTTCCCCGTTGGTTTTTTAAACTTCCTAATATATATCCTCCCGTAAATATCATTTCATCAATACCTTTATGTGCATTTTCCAAAGAATTGTTGTGCTCTAAGCTATTATCTATAATTATTTTTGTTTCGAAATGACCTGTGAACCGATGATTTAATAATTGTTCTCTTTCATCCAAAGATAATTGTTTTCTTTGTTTTTTTTTTTGCCAAAGTTGCAATGCATTCTGTAACAAAACAAAATATAAAAATAATAAATTATTTTATCGGTACATACTTTCATGGTGCTTTTTTAACAGAACCATAATTGGCATAATTCTAGGGTTTTCTGTCAGAACATTATATCTACGTTATTTTTGTTTTACTAAAACATTAACTAGTTTAGTGAAGATAGTTTAAAAAGCCAGCATTTTAAAATGTCGCTATTACAAATTATAGTTTTGGTTATCAAATAAGATATACACTCTTTATATTATGAATTTTACTAATACAACATCATAGTTGTGAAATTAATATGTGCTTATTACACTAATAATTTAACTTAATGGAAATTTCTTCATGCAACTGCAGAACAGATGAATGACGTAATCAAAGGAACGAGTTAAAGGCAGAAAAATTAATTACAAAAATTTTTCTCCTCGAACTGGACTCGAACCAGTGACCTACCGCTTTCTAGGCGGACGCTCTACCAACTGAGCTACAGAGGCATAAAGAAATTGCCGACGAAATGTTCTCTACATTGCTTTATACTGTAATCCACATGATTACTAAGAATTTGTTTACATTGACTGCTACATACAATCTACTATTGAAACACACAATAACAAGAACATATATATTTACAGGTATTGTGCCTCTTACACTAATTATATTATGAATTTTACTAATTTGTATCAATCAGGAGCTGAATAAGTTCATTGATCTAGTTTTAAATGTTTTTAAACGTGCGTTTCACTTATATGAAAATAACCAACATGAACATTTAAATATGAAATGTAGAAATGAATATCAGCAGATTTTTCATTTCCAACTTGAAATGAAACGGTAAAAAAACTAGAATACATTTTCATTTCAAAAGTGTATAACATGACATATCTACATATAGTTCAATGCTTTCTTGCAAAATTTGTGATTTCGAGAAGTGAAGAACTGTTGATAACTAATTTTGTCCGAAAAGTATTTGAAATATTTGGTTAGTTATTATTTTCTTCAAGAAATTTTTTTTGAAACTACTGGAAAAACTAAATTTTTGCATTCATAACTTATTTTTTATCAAAAATGTAGGTATCTTGTTCTGATGGAAAACCCTAGAATTATGTATTAATTATATTTCCTGAAACAGTGCGTATAGAATATATGTACTATATGCATATATTTAAGTGAAAAATATTATGTAGTTAATATTTTTTACGCAAAGCTATTGAAATATCATTATTATAGTGCAAAAAAATGTAAAATAAAAATTAAATATACCTAAACAAACAACAAATGTACTGTAACGCAGTAATATGTACTAAACGCAGTAATATGTATTAAGCACCTTAATGAAAAAGTTTTTTTGTAAAGTTTTTTCATATTTTTTTTCATGTTGGGTTTTGATTTACTTTAGTTCAACTCTTGACATAAAAAATTTTCAAGAAAAATATGGTAATACAGATTTGCACCTTAATAGAAAGTGAAAGCTCATAACTGATGAATTACGTATTTTTACAGAAGCTATACAGGGCCGTTTTTAACCTTATAAATCCCTACAAGATCAATTCTTGTCAAATTTTTAGTTAGAAAAAGTTAAATTTAATATTTTTCTATTTTATTAGTGCTAACCCCAAGTAACAATTTTTATCTCGTAAGACCCAAGAATATTACTCTTATAATTTCAGTCTATAAGAAGAAAAGAGCGCAATTACTAGAGTTATTAATCCTTGTAATGCGAAGTTTAGCTCGCATTAAAAGAGTTTTTACAGCATATAACTCTTACAAGCCATTTATAATAGTATCACTAGAAAGAGAAAGCAATACATTGTAGAATAAATACATCGGTCTTACTTCGAACTTTATAAAAAATATGTCTATTCCGCTTTTAATAATTATTTTTTTAACAAAAATGAAACAAAATATACATATGTTTACATATATGATATGTAATCAATAAATATGTAATATTTGTATTCAAAATTTTAATATTATAAAATTATAAATATTATATTATTAAATTATAAATCAAAAAGTTGCTGACATTAAAATTTTATTGATACAAGTTGATATTGTACATTGTTCGAAAAAAAGCAACGCCAACTAAAAATAATTAAAATTTGAAAATTTTTATACATATTATTTAACCTTATAATATCTTATATCTTTATTTTTACATAAATTTTAAAATTTAAGAATTGTTAAGCAATAAATAAATATACTAATTTGTATAAATTCCAACTAAAGCTTTATTATATTCAAGTAAAACTATAATTTTGCATTTCATTAACTTTAATTTAATAATTTCTGAACATTTTTCGGACTTCTTTCCAAAAAAAATAATTCTCAGTGTTATTAGGGTTAAAATTTATATATTTATACAAAATTCTGTAGTTGAAACCGATTAACGACACAAGTCCCAAATAGAGATAAAAAATTATATGCCTAGGACCGCATGGCTAAAGTCATTAGTATGTGAATTCCGGATACAAGGCGCCAGTTTCAGTTTTAGCTACCGTACCTGTGGTACTGAGGGTTTCTGCCACGACTAATTGACTTTTCTTCGCCATCATGCCAATCCAGCATAGAAGTATCTGGGCAGGAGGTTCATCAAAGAAAACTTCCAGATAGGCTTCATTCAAGTACCATGGGCTTATGACAAAAAAAAAGAAGAAACGTAAGTAAGCTTTCCCATATCAAACTGAAACACCAAGACCCGCATTTTGGCTTAATAAATCTATTGAATTTCTTCCAGTTGAGACCGCAATCCGGCAAACCAACGGAAGTCAGAGGCTAATCTGTACCTTAACGTATCCTCCCGGAGAGCAAAACGATTCCCTCCAAAGGACGTTAAGAAATTCGTTAGGTGGTAAAGACGGAAGAACAAGAAGCTCATTATTGGCTGTGATGCTAATGCTCATCATTTAGTGTGGAGAAGCTTCTATGGGAACCCCAGAGGTGAATGCCTTTTTGATTTTCTTTCGGGAAATAATTTAGATATTGCTAGTAAAGGTAATGAACCGACCTCTATAAATGTAATACGTAAGGAAGCCTACGATTTTTAAATACGTTATGTAGTCCTCTGGTGACCCTTCTTATAAAAATTGGCATATATTTGCGAGGGTCACCCTTTGCGATCACAAGCATATTGTTTTCGACTAATCAACCTCTGAGGGTTTGAGGTAACTTGTAAAAGGGCATAGCAAAGACCAATCCTCTTAATAATCATTCGAAGTCATATCGACCAACTGGCCTGACTTCGTTTCTTTTGAAGTAGATGCAGACATGTGAGACCCACACTCGAACAGAAACCCAACCTTGCACCAAAAGCAGTTCACCTATCGGGAATATCTAGCGAAATTGCTCTGCGTCGCTTTACTCAAGAAATAGAGAGAACGTTGGAGGCTAAACAAGTAGTTTTTGGGACTGTTCTCGATATGGAAACAGCCTGAAAAAATACTTATTTAGATAGTAAAGGCGGCCGCGAGCAAGGAAATTGAGGAACTCATTTTGGAGTAGATCGCGCCATGTTCGACTCTCGAATCATCACGGCCAATATGGGGTGCGCTGATATCGCCATTCGTAGCATGATGACGATGTAGTGGACAAATCATCCAGGACTAGCTAGGAAATTAATGAGCCATTTACCAGAATGCGGAAATTAAGTCATCGTCCGATGTTGTTGGGAGTCAAAATAATTGGGCCCTCGAAGAAAGCCAAGTATCTGGGAGTGATCCTGGATCAATAATTGAGCTGGGAACCTCATCTAAGGAAAGTCAGCGATGGAGTCATCCGAACTTTAAAGGCTTCCACGAGGTGCATGGGAGAACATCGAGTCTTAGGCCTAAAATGCTTCATTGCATCTACACCACTATTGTTTGACCAATTGTAACATACACTTCTTTCATGTGGTGACAGAAGGCCGGGCAGGAGACGGCGCGTTGTACTCCCGCTGCAATCCTGTCCGTGCCTTGTTATAAGAACAAAACAGTGGAGCACTTATTGTGTGAAGGTGATGCGGTGAATCGCCTGCGACTGCGTTGTTTCGGAAGGGGCTTTGTAACTCAAATGGAAGCATCGCAGCATTCAGTGGCCGCCACACTGAAATTTGTTGGGGGCCTAAATATAGTGTCAATGTAGGTCGATCGATATAGTGCCAATGTAGGGAGATCGAAATCATAAAAGATCCTATAAATCGACGTGCACAGGGCTTATTGGTCTCGGTCCCCAACGGAAAAAAAGTGCCATATATCACACTAAATTCAAATAACTTTGAAGATATTGGCGCAAAATTCCATCTGGAAAAGATGGTCAAGGCGAAGGATGAGATCCGCTGTGTCTGGCTGAAGGGCGACAAAGCGGTGGAGCACCTAGGCGGAGACTCGTTCGCCACTGAAGTATTTCGGAAGGGGCTCTGTGACTCAAGCTTTGCAGCTTAAAGTGGCTGCCATACTGAAATTTATTTGGGGCCTAGATATATTGCCGATGTAGGTTGGGATGGGAATCATAAAAAATCCTAAGTTGACGTGCACAGGGCCTATGTGCTTCGGCCCAAACGAAAAACAAAATAAAGATATTGACACAAAATTAAGATATGGATGTATATATCACCCTACGTAAATCAATAATTTAGTCTAGGAAGAAAAACTTAAAATTAAATAATGATTTGCATGCAGTTGATTTGAAATGATCTTGAATTTTACATCACAAAATATAAAAATCTTTCAACTCTGTACACCTTATCGTTTTGCTTTAGCCTGTATAAAATCCATGAATAGTATGTTCGGTTTGAAGTTCCGCAAAAATACATTCATATTGAAATTGCTACTATATAATATGGTATACTAGAATCGTATGGGTAGATTACAATTGATAAGTCTACAAAGCAGTATACCGATGATAGGTGTCAGACCTACTCCTTTAATATAAGAGCTACACAAACACAAAATTGGGAATTGAAAAACTGAAATTTTTTAAAACGCTTATTTATTATCTCTAAATAGCGCGTTTTTCTCGATGCGCTACATCTACTTCT